TGAAATAATTTGTTTCATTTTTATAGCTTTAGCAGAAGCTATGCCAATTAATCTAGTTACTGAGTTATTAAGATTATCAATAATTATATAAAGATTTTTAACCCAAGCTCTTGATCTTTTGGATATAGGTAACAATAAATCAGAGGCATACTGTAAATGAACCAATTTTTCAGCTAAAGTACGATTAAATCTTTCAACAATAGCCTGACTTTTATGAGACGTGCTAATCTTAATTTTAACATTATGTTTTTCTATTAATTTATTACAATCAGATTTAAATTCTGAACCAGGATCGACCATTAATAATTTAGGCCAAGTAAGAGGGCAGTTGGAATTACTATAAACTTTTTTAAAAGCTTTAGCCACACTACTAGATGTCTTATCTGTTAAAGGAATCGCCCACTTAAATCTGGAAGCAATGTCAACTATACATAAACAATATTTATATACTTTGTTATTAATCATATTATGAGGCATATAAAGAATATCAGCTTGATGGTATTCATTAGGAATCTGTATGCTATTAAATGAAGTTCTAGGAATAAAGCTTGGTCGAGGCTTATGAATTTGAAATAAAGCTTGTTTTTTAAGCCAATCACGTACTTCATACTCAACAAAGTCAAACCCAGCCTTTAGAGAAGCTTCATACAATTTTTTCACAGTTCTTTGATAGCCATTAGGTTGATAATAAATCTTACGCAAAGCAATAGATATATCTAATTCACGAGCTTTTTCAGAATCTACATGAATAATAGGAATAGATAACATCTTTTCTTATTATAGTTTAAAAAAAGATGTCATTGCTAGAAAATATATCATCTAGTAGAATTAATCAATTTAAAAGCGATTTATTAGCAATACAAGATAGAGTCTGTAAATTACAGCAGGATCTAATTTTAAAAGAAGATTATATTAAATATCTTGAAAAAGAAATCTTAATTCGAGATGAGGATCTAGATCCATTGTGATTAGAAATATCTAATCTTAAAGAACAGTTAAAAAAGATGCTTCAAAATTCTATAAACCAAGAGAATTATATAGATTATTTAGAAAAACGATTAGCAATTTTTCAGGAAGAAATAGACAAGCTTAATGAAAAAATACTTGTTTTATATAAAAATTCTAATGATACTATAGAAATGGCGTAACCACCAGGATCATCTAGATTATCTCTACCTGAAAATCAAGCCACAATCCAAAATAATAGGATTCAGCGAGAGATTAATAATATTAGACAATATTTTCAAAGCCCAGTTACAATAGCACCCACAATAAATGGTATTGTAGATTATCTTAATATTATTTCAGATGCTGGCAATAGGTTTGAAAGATTGGTATTAGATATATATCCACAGGCAAATGCTCATGCAATTAATGCAGAAAACCAAGTAACAAATTTGCAAACCCAGTTAGCTGATTCACAAAACCAGTTAGCTGATTCACAAACCCAGTTAACTACACTTCAAAATGACTATGATCTTCTTCATCAGGCTTATGAAGCCTACAGAACACAACATAATATATTTAAATCTCGAGAACTTGATAGACGAATTACAATCCGTACACAAAAAAGGCAAATATCAGAATCACTTCTAGAAAGACTTGCATTAAGATTCAAAAATAGACGAACCCATCAGCAATTACAAGAATGTAAGACAGATGGAGCAATTACTACACATCTCTTAAATCTTACAGAAAAATGATATTCAAGTGGAAAACTCAGGCTCGAAATTCTGAACAATTAATTAATAATTTAAATCAACAAGTTTTTGTGCTACAGAATAATATAGCAAACATGGCAACCTTACAAGATGTTATATCTTCATTATCTCCATTGATTGCTCAAATTCCTCAATATATAGGTCAGGAACCTCCTGATGAATATTATAATAAAATAGTACAAGTATTTGTATATGGAGGTGCATTAGGAGTTGTTAGATTTAATGATGCTATAAAAGCAGAAATTTTAAAATCTAAAATGTCTAGTAAATATATACCTGTTCCAGCTCAATATCCTGCAGGTACAAATATTGATACTTCAGCACGATTCTTAGCTTGGTTAAGGCATAAATATCATGAAGAAACAATAGGATCACGCAATGCCTCTTTATCCAGATTAGCACAAGAAAAATTTAACCCAACTGATACTCCTCAAACTTATGAAGACAGAATTCGTCTTTTATTGTTACAGACACCAAATAATAACCAGGATGCATTGGCTATATTATGGACTCATTTACCAGATGAATTATTTACAAGAGTAAAAATAACAAATCCGGGTGATATAAATGCTTTCTTTATAGCTGTTAAGGATACATAGCTTGAGCAAAAACCATCTACCTTTATATATAATAGAGTTAATAGCAATTCATCAGTTCCTATAATTTTATCTAATACAATACCTAGTGAAAATTTAACTATATATAAAAAAGCATATGATGAATTAGATTTTATAGCTCAAAGACTAGGATATTCAGATAATGCATCTAGAGATCCGGATGCTTTAAAAAATTTTATCGAAGAAGAATTATATAAAAGATTAGGCTATGCGAATTATAATATACAATCCAAAAAATTATATGCTACAAAGAAGCCTATAGCTAAAAAATCAACAAAATCAAAAAAAGTATTAGTAGAAAGATACTGTTCTATGTGTGGAAAATCTGGTCATACAAAAAAGAATTGTCCCAAAGTTAGAAAGACTAAAAAGATTAATAATATTACTAGCTCTCAATACGAATATATAAACCAAAGCCAATCAGAAGATGATATAGAATATATAAATAATGAAAGCGATCAAGAAGAAAGTAGCCAAGAAGAAAGTGATCAAGAAAATAGTGAGATTGAATATAGAGAAACTAATTGTTTTAATATAAAAAAAAATGTGGGGTTTCTAAGTCTTCTATAAAAAGAAATTAAAAAACCTAAAACTAATAAAAAAGCTATTAATGAAAATCAGATATTTTTAGAATTAGTTAAATATGTTTTAACAAGATATATTTCTCAATGTCCTAAAGAAATTCTAACTGAAATATATTCAGATCTTAGTAAATTATTTTCTGAAATGAAAGACTCATTTTATTCATATCATTCAAAAAATTATACAAATAAAGAAGTAGACAAAGTATGGGAAAATTTAATAAAAAAGTATCAATTTATTTTAGAACCATTTTTCTTTGCATGCTCAGAAAATGATATGCCAGTATCTTCTGTGAAGCAGGACACTTCGTGTTTGACTTCAAGCAATTATTGTGAGAAGGTAGAAGGATCTTCTTTAAATTATGCTATAAAACAATATCAAGAAGCCCAGTTATATCGAAATTGGCATGACCCATTAAAAATAAACTTTTTGCAAATAAAAGAACCCAATAATTATGCCACTATTTCATGCAAAGTATATGATTTAGAAATACCCCATGCATTACTCGATACAGGTTCAGATGGGTCACATATTTCTGAAAATATCGCAAATCATTTTATAAAATATTTTGGGCTAAAATTAGATAGAAAAAAGGTTTATAGACTAACAGGAGCTGTAGGAGAAAAACATTCTATTGGGAGCTTTTCTGATATACCTGTTACTATAGGTATTGGAAATAATACCTTAACAATTTTGGATGAGTTTTCAGTTTTACCAACAGAAAAAGATAATAATGGTAATGATATATCATTATTTATTCTTGGTACTAGATGGCAACATCGAGCTGGCTGGGAACCTATAGTAAAGGGTGAGTTTATAGCATCAGCTAATGGAAAAAGTATTACTATTCCACTTTCTGTTTATAATAAAGATGAGGAGGCAAAGCTTCGAATTTCTAATTCACTCAAAAAAAAATAATTAGTTCTGAAGGGATATTACATTGCAATAATACAATCCAATGCATTGAGGAAGCTGAGTTTCGAGATATTTCTATATGGGAAAAATGTATAAATCAATTCTTCTCTGAATTATAACCCTTTAAATCTAGATATATCAGGATATAACCTACCATCTTTCTTTTCTAATGCATGAATAAGATTAAATATAGTACCATCTCAGATATATTTTTTTAATGTAATCTCAAATAAATTTTTAGCTCTATTATTCATATCTATCTTAATTTGATTGCATTCTATATCTTTCTGTTGCTTAATAGATTTTAAAGTTTCCTCAGTAGATTTAATAAGTTCTTGACGTAAATTATCTTTAGCTTCTTTGATTCTAGCATTAACCTCTTCTTCAGAGTATAATGGAGCAATATTAGAGGAAGAATCAGAGATTCGAGATTTTGTCTCTTCTTCGAATTTTGTCTTTTCAGGTTTTGAAACTGGTATTACTATACAATGAGACTCTGTCTCTACTTCTATTGTAGGATTATATCGAGGTTTTTTATTTCTTTGATATCTATCAACTTCATGTTTTAAAAATGCCTCTATAATAGGGCTAATACTACTAGCTTCACTTTCTGATAATGGATTTTTTTTTTGAGTTGTAAGCCGAATCCATCCAGCTTTTATTAATGAAGGTGGTAGTTGAGTAAGAAGATTTGAATAATTTTCATGAAAAGTTATAGAATGCTATATAATATCATGAAAAGTCATAGAATGCTATATAATATTATGAAAAAATAATTTAAATGATTTTTATTTATTTCATAAAATAATTATAAGATAACTAGATATTAGATAAAATATTTGTCACATTATTTAATAATATATTAACCTTTTTAATTTGTTCTGAAAAATTAATATTCTCAGTTTGAGTTGCTTTATCCAAAGAATCAGTTTGTATTGCTTTATCTATAAAATTAATTTCTTCTGTTTGTACTCCATTATCCATACTATAAATATATATACCTTTAGAAGATCGCAATTTTTGTCTATTATATCTTTCAATCTCATGTCTTAAAAATGATTCAATATCAGAATTTATATAACTAGCCTCAATTTTTGTTAAACTATTTCTTTTTCTGGTTATAAGACGCTTCCATGCATCATTTATTAATGATGGAGGTAGTTTATTGAGAAGATATTTATAATCTTCATGAAAACTAGGTATTTCTGCATACAATTCAATAATCTCTTCAATGTTTGTCATTTTAATAATTAATTTATTTAATATATAATATATTTAAATCTGGTTTATAAAGCAAAAAAATCGTAAAATAGTTGCATGTCTCCATTTTGATAACAGTTACCGACTTTAGACCCAAAGGGTTATTGCTTCACAATATGTATTAATATTTTTTATAAGACTGTGACCTCAAGGTCACATACTACATTACACAAGTCACAGTATGTAGCACAGTAGTCACATGATATTGTGATCGATGGGTCACGTACTACCAATTTAAAATACTAACAAATATCAACTTGAACTATTCCATGAATTATGATATATAGGATACATATTCATTTTGATACTTCTTTGAGAGCTTAATGCTTAAAGCTCTTTGTTCAGCTAACTCTGGAGATATTCCATTTGATACAAAATTTTTATATGCTTGTATACGCCAATGACCATATGGCAAACTAGTTATTTTATCAGATAATATCCAACGCTTAGTATCTATAGGACAAAGAGCTTTCTTTTCTGATTCGACCAAAGATAATATATGGTCTTTTGATCGAATACCTACATTCTTAGCATGGAATACTTCATTACCAAAGAGACAGTCTCGATAAACTAGAGTCATAGGATCTGCTTCAGTTCGCATAGCCAAATCCTTGACTTCTTCTTCTGATAATAATGATATATCTATTGGATTATCTAGCAAGGACCCTTCTAAAGTTGGCATATATGAGTTTGTAGCCATTTCACTCATACCCTTTTTGCTAACTCCTTTATGTTTAGATGTTGTAAACTTATTTGCCAAAACATAGTGATAAGATTTGCCTCGAATATGTATAGATTCTGTAATTACACTATCTGGAGTTTCATCCTTGTAAAGACCTATAGTTTTTGAGTCATTAAGGTAGAAAAGATCAGGTCACTCAGCCATATCCTTATAGATATCCTCAGTTTCAACTATAAATATATATGAGTCTGTATCTTTATATCCTAACTTAGCACTATCACCATATCTCTCTTTTACATATCCATACCAAAAGTGGTACATGTGAAGCTTGCTAAGGCCAAGAACTGATGCTCCTACAATAATTGGCTTGTTAAGAGTTATGCTAGCTTTTCCCATATATGCTCCTACTAAAGTATTTCTAAGTTGTCTAGAATACTTAAAGGAGGGTTTACGAATTTGATTAATAAACTTCTTTTCATCTTGCTCATTATTTATAGCCATGAGTTTGACATCTTGATATTTACGAACATTTTCCATAGTCTTGCCATAAACTGAATTGTTCATAAGCTTAAAGAAATCTTTCTCAAAAGCATTCTT